GGAGCTCCTGTCCCTTTGCCAGGCCTGCTTCAGGAACGGGGAGTGGGGAGAAGCTTCTGGAAGCTAAGAGGCCCATGATGAAAAGGTTCTTCCTATTCAGATCATAGGAATCCTGGTTTGGGCAGCTGGAACCAGGCCACAGATGAGAAGCAAGGCTATCTCTGGCCTGCTCTTATCTCTGGGGCTTAACACCTATGTCTGAGTCCAGACCCCTGGCTGGCTGACGCCACAGACTTCTGGTGTCTTACCACATATACGGCCTGGGCTCCAGAGCCCTTTTGCCTGCGGGCAGCAAGTAACTCCTTCCTGGCCAGACTCTTTCAACTCACTGGGCTCTTTTTTCCTCCTTGCCGAGGTTTTTGTTTCTGACTCTCTCAAGTACAGAAACCAGAATGACAGAAGGAGGCCAGGCCCTCATGGACCATCCTGCCACCCCTGCCTCCACTCTCAGCTGCCAACAGTGAGAGTAAATCTTGGTACTCTTGATTCAGGAAGCCTGGAACTGCTTCCCTTGGTCTAAAAGCCTCAGCAGGGTTTTGGGGGAGATCTAAGGCCTACAAGAAACCAGATGCTCCTAGGTGTCCGAGGCTTCTTAGAAGGTAAAATTGGTGATCAATACCCGGAAAGGACGATGGACAAACAGAAAGCCTCTTGGTGCCTTCACTTCCAACCAGAAAAATGGGGCAAGAGGCACCTTCCTGTCATCCTTTCTACCTTCTGGCAGCCAAAAGAGAAAGGTTCTCAGGCCTCTGGGAGTCCACTTCTGACAGCAGGCCAATGTGGCATTAACACCACGAGGTAGGCTAGATTTCTGAATCCTCAGTGGGCCCCGTAGGGACAGAGGAATGATACCAAGAGAAGTGCATGTTAGAATATACGGGGAGGGAGAAGGCTGAGGGGTGAGGAGGAAACAGGAGGGGCCTCTCTCAAGAGTCCTGCCCCCCATTGACCGTGCCTGTCCTTACAGCCTCCACCCCTACAACTCTGTGTGTGTGTGTGTGTGTGTGTGTGTGATGTACTGGGTACTGGG